TTGTTGCAGCAGCAGCAGCTGATCAGGAAGGTGTTGTTGCACGTGAGAAGCACGTGTGTGTGACTTGCAACAAGTCGTTTACTTCGTATCAAGCTTTAGGAGGTCATAGAGCAAGTCACAACAAGGTCAAGATATTGGAGAATCATCAAGCTGCAAGGGCAAACGTTGAAGCTTTGTTACTTGGAACCGAAGCAACAATAACCGGTTTAGCTAGTGCTCAAGGATCAAACACATCTTTAAGCAGCAGCAATAATGGAGATCACATTTGTAACATTTGTCATAAAAGCTTCCCAACAGGTCAAGCTCTTGGAGGTCACAAGAGATGCCATTGGTCTGGACCAGTTTCTACTGAGACTCCAACCGCTGTGCCAACCGCTCCAACCGCGTCTTCTAGTCAAGTAACAGAGACAGTGCAAGAGGTGAAGAAATTGAAGAGAACGTTTTTGGACTTTGACTTGAATGAGCTACCACCTAACGAGGAGGAAGAAGAAGAAGAAAGAGTCTAAGAGACGTATATATGCGGACAAGTAAGCTTTTATTTAATTGAAAAAACAAAAACTTATGAAATTAGGAAGTAATGGTGGTAAAAAGGAGTTGTTGACATTGTAGTCTGAAAAAAGAGAGAAAAATACATTTGGTTTTTGGGTTCTTTGGTGTTTGGATTTTAATCTAATTTGGTGGGGTCTTTTGTGAATTTGATGAGAGGATATATACTCTTTTGTTTTCTTCTCTCAAGCTTTGATTTTTTTTTTATAATTTCTCTTTCTTATGTTATGCTTCTGGATTCACATAAAAGTATGATGGTTTTAATTGACCAAAGTTCCATAAAGTAAACCATCAGTCTTATTCATCTCACCATCTTATCTTTTCTTTTTTCCCTTTTTCCAAATTAAATGGTTTCTCCTTAACTTTATTAGATAGTCGAGTTTGATCTAAACAGCAACAGCCAATTATGCATACAAATTTTACATTTTCCTGATCAAATGCTATGATCTATAGTTCAAGTGATTATATTGTGAGTTTTAGAATTAATAAATTTTGGAAACAATCTTTGGTGGGTTCAAAGTTGTAAAACGGTTTTTGGAAGTTTACAAATCCAAAGATCATCATCATATTTGGCCATCTTTGAGTCTAAGATGAATTATAAAAACTGGTATATTTTATATTCATTATTGGTTTGGTCTAGAACTCCTCAAGACGTGGGCATTGTTAATTTCTATGTATGTATGTGTGTTAGAACAATCCAACATTAAAATGGCTGTTTATAGTCAATTGTCAAAGTCTCCACTTGCCTCTAATGACATAAGACCAATTCTATGTGCATGTCATCACAAACACCAGAAAAATTCACACAACTATATTGAATTTGTCTTATTTCTAAACTCTTAAGAGCTAAGATTTGTACATTGAACATATATAACTTGTCGCATCCATACTTCTTCTGTTTCATACGACATATAATTTTCCACCCGAATTAGAAAAATAAATTATATACACGAATATGTTCTATTTTCTATTTTTCAATTTGTTATACAAGAATTTAAGACGTTTTTTTAATCTATTTTAGACAAATTATCGGTTTAAATTCCGT